GCTATTAGAGTGACATGGTCGGCAGGTAAAAGATACTGACCGACATTGTCTTCAACGTTGGCTTGGCCTAGTAGTTAAGCTGGGAGGTGTACGTAGTATATGTATGTATGCCCTGGGTTCAAATCCCGAACAAGTCATAGATTCGCGTTTTGAAAAGTTTTTTACTTACTGCAGGTAAAAGATACTGACCGACCTATGTATGCCGGTTTAAATCCTAAACAAATTTTTTACTTGCTGCTATTAGAATGACATGGTCAGCAGTTACTTAAAAGATACCGACCAACATTGTCTTCCACCGTTGGCTTGGCTTAGTGGTTAAGCTGGAGGTGTACAGAGTGTATGTATGCCTGGGTTCGAATCCCAGAAGTCACTTACAACGATCGCAACTCTTTCGTTTTTGTAACTCTGGCTAAAATTTACTAATCAATTCTTACCGAGCTTGCAGACCCAGGTTAGTTGTCTTACGCTGGGTAAGTTACAAAGTGCCGAGCTTTCAGGCCAGGTGGATCATTGACTTGGCTCAGTGGTCAAGGTGGGAGGTGTACGCATTGTATCTATGTATGCCCTGGGTTCAAATCCCTAACAAGTCATGCTGTTCATCCTAAACAGTTTTTTACTTACTACTATATTAGAGTGACATGGTCGTCAGCTAAAAGGTACTGACCAACTTCCTCTTGCAGTGCTGACTTGGCTTAGTGGTTGAGCTGGGAGGTATGCCCTGGGTTCAAATCCCAGAAGTCACATAGAGCGAAGACGGCCTTTTTGTAACGCTGGCTAAAATTTACTAATCCAAGGCTTGTAGCATCCAAAGTCCCAAGAACGGGTAGTTGTCTTAGTTGTCTTATGCCGAGAACGGGTGACTTACAAAGTGCCGAGCTTGGACGCCCGGGTTCAAATTGCAGGCAGGTAAAAGATACTGGCCGCGATCGTCTTCCAACGTTGGCTTGGCTTCGTGGTTACGCTGGGAGGGTACGTTGTGTATGTATGCCCTGGGTTCGAATCCCACAAGTCAGTTACACCTATCGCAACTCTTGTTAAAATTTACTAATCAATGCTGGTTTGACCGATGTTGTCTCGGATCATGAAAATTTGAACTGCAAGTTCTGCCTGGTCTGCCTCTGCTTGGCTGCTAAATTAAAGGCCAAGCTGAAAACGATTCGGCTTGAAAATGCCGGCCTCGGTGATGCATCGGCTGATGAGATGTTCATAAATTCTCGTGTCCGGCTGACTCGGTGATATCCATGAACCATGACTACCATGTGGGTCTCGCCAGCTGACCCTGGTAACCAGAGTTGAGGGCCCTCGGCCGACCACCAACCCAGGCGAATTCAAAATGTCTGCCGACCTTGCATAGCCTAGCTGCTAATCAGAAGTGAAGGCCCTCGGCCGATCACCAGCCCAGCAACGTTCACAACTGTCAGCCGACCTTGCATCTTCCATCAGCCGATATACAAATACAATGTTCAAAACTGTCAGCCGACCTTGCATAGCTTAACTATCTGATATACAAATACAATGTTCAAAACTGTCAGCTGACCTTGCATAGCTTAGCTATCAGCCGATATACAAATACAGGGACTTGACTTCCCGGGGCAGCTTCCTACTGATCGGTGTATGCTAAATCTATGTAGCTGGCCGACCCTTCTTTACCTTGATAGTGGGATCACATCGGCCAATTCATCAACACAGGGTTATTGGCCCTCATTGGCCCATCAGCAGGCACCATCAACTATGGCCTGTTTGTATTGTCGGGCCTCTCAGTGTTGGTGGGTGATTCCTACTAACTGCCCTGCAATATTAATGAGATCACCTAGGTCATTTAATGAAAAAACCAAATGAAATACACAGGGAACTTAATGAATGAAAATACTAGACAAAATAATGAGTTGTCTCATTGAACCTCTAGGCATTATACACATCGCCTTCCAGGCATGTGTCTGGTTTTTATCATAAGAGTGTATACCACTAGTGTCCCCTTTCTGAAGGTCTCCCACACCACCAGCGCGAATGATTTCGTGTCGCGCACAGACACACATTCCTACCCCTGTCGACTGTAAGCCCGTCGAAAACTGGGTCTCAGCGTTGGCTAATGTCTTGAAACCGCTACATGTGCTAATCTTCAATATTGTTAGTTTGAAATACAACCTGGGATAATGCGCGAGACTTACATCTTTCTGAGTTGCATATTTTAGAATGTGCTTTTGATATGGCACGTCTTCTGGGAAGTAAGCGAAGCTGGTGTGAAGACCGGGATCCTTCTTTAAGCTTGAACGCATTAAATTTTTCAGTCGGAAATTGGCATCCATGGCAACAATGAGAACGTATAAAAACCTGGTGTCACATCAACAGTCGTTAGCACATGGAACTTGGTCTGGATTTGAAACGACAGACTTGGACGCTAAGTCGACGTCTTTCCAGTTTTCTGGGAGGTTAACATCGGGGATTGGGCATGCTGGACAGATAGTTGCAAGATCCCCTCGACTTGTTGATACCAAACCGCCCTCGACATTCCCCCGTCCATGCTGTTTCATTAGCTTGAGATGACGAAATTCGCGGATCATGCACATGAATGATTTGTAGCGCGTCTAGATAAGAAAACAGGTGTTATGCCGTGTCAAGACTAATCAAACAGGCTGTTTACCTTTGGGATACTCAGCTCAGTGTTGTCAGTCAGATACTCGAGGGATTTGTAAAATTCGTGAGCAGATAATTTCCCCGTAAGGGTAACAACGTGGAACAACTCCAGCAGTCGGAAGGTTGCACACGTTTGGGGGTGGTGAATCGTCGCAGGGAACCATTCGCTTCGCATCAGCTGTTGGCGATCCGATATCATTCGTTTGTCACAGCCGCAAAAATCGACGGCGACGTTGTGCAAGCCATTTGTGTGCATAACGATGAAGTCTTTGTGGCCGGGGTGAGGAGCCACGCAGACGGAGTTAATGTGTCCCAGTTGTACGCGAAGACCCATCGACTTGAGGGTCACCTTTTCGAAGAAATTACCATTCCAACGCTAGTCATAGGTTAGCCCACTTGAAGCAAGATTTACAAAGCTGACTTACCTGGATGATGTGGAGCGGGAGATGCCTATGCCGAGTCAAACAGCAACTCGAGCATTGCAGAAGCCGGCCCATGCAATCCTCGCACCGATAGATCGCTTGCGCGGATGGACAGGTTGTGCACTGTGCATGAGAAGCGGCGTCGCCCCTTCCTTCCAACCTCAGCATCTCCTGGAGGTATTCATCCCGAAAGCCTGGGTCTGACTTTTCCCCCCCAGCCCATTCCCGTAACGGAGCATCCTACAAGATGTCAGAGCCTTCAAATAAAAATTATGGCCTGGCACTCACTGAGGTTGGGTAACGCTTCACGGCAACCTTGGCTGCCATGGTAGGTACTTCTTCAATCTCATTCACCGCCTCGTCCTCGGAAACGCCATGATTGGCCGTTTCGCAGTCGTAATCGGTACTGGGATGCCATTCGTACACCGGAGATGGAACGCGACAAGGCGGGATGGCGCCTTTTTGGGGGGAGCGAGGAGTCTGGATTATGTTGAGCCCAGTCTTGGAGAGCCGAATGGTACGTGCTTGGGGAATCACTATATCATCCTCGCTGTTGGAACCACGAACGACGACGAAGCCCTTCTTGCGTGTGGGCTTAGGCATGGGTGGTGGGAAAATATTTGAAGTCGGCGGCTATTATACTTAGACACCTCACAAATCCTTTGTAGTCAGCAAGTTTTATATCCACGCAACGTTACAATTGGCAAGTTCACGCGTTACAATTACCAAGGCTAAGTATAAGAAATAATTAATGAGGTACTACGAAAGTCCTAGAAATGAAGCATTGTATTCTCTTCTTCAAGCCTTTCCTGTGCCTCCCATGCAGCCCGTTCTTTCGCTTGAGCAAGGGAATCCTCTAAGCAAAGCTCGATCCCCTCCAAACCCGATGTGTCTATGCGGGTACGAAGCGACGACACGATTTCCTTGGCGGCTTTGTTCATTTCCACCATCCAAAGCGAGTCTTCAGGCACGGGGCCGTCTTGTATGTTTTTTGGGAAAACGCCAGCAAGCCAGCAGAGCTTCTTTTTGAGTACCTTACAAAAACTGTCAGGAGGCCATTCGCCCTGTAGTCAGCACAATGTACTTACTTTTAACCATTCGCGGCGGATGTGGTCATCATAGCCAGCATCATCAAGAAAAGCTTCGTGTACATGAACCTCCTCTTCAGGTTCAGGAAACCGAAGGAACCAGATGAGTGCCGCGCGGTCAAAAAAGGACTTGACTTGGTCTTCCCGGATAGCGGCATGAAAACTTGGTAGGAATAACTTTGCGGTGGCATCCTCATGACGCTTTCGGACTCGCTTGGCCACCAGATCGGTCTCCATGACCTAAGTGATCGATCGTGTTCAGGGTCAACATTTGAAATAGTAACCGATCTGTATGTACCTTTTTCCGTTCTCCTTGCTTCGATGACGTAGAATTGTTGACGACAAGAGGAGCGCGAATAGTAGAAGAGATTTTGGGCTGACGTCCCTTTCCCATGGCGTAGGTGTAGAGCGATGTAGTTTGTATTGTATTGAGATTGAACGCACTGTGAATTGATGCAAACCTTATCTGGTGGCTGAAAACTGTACAGTCGAAGAACCTTTGGCAAATTCATGGATCTTTGCAAAAAATAGCTACGATACTTTAATAAGTATGATATCGGGATGACGCCTTGGCCCCTTCAACACTAATTTGGTGTGAAAAAGTCCCGCTGGAACCCCCATCTTCCATTTGATTAGGAGACATCGCCGCGTGAGCATGTATCTCCAACAGGGGCCCTACGCCGCAGTTGGTACTTATCTGTGATAATATACGCAGAAGTTGGTAACTTACCCGATCTCATTGTCATCGTCGGAGCCTTCAATTATCTCCTTTAATTTCTTTTCCTTTATGGCCGCTACCTTTTTCTTGTATCGGCGACGCAAGCGGCGGCAGATCTCAACCCAATTCCTGTGTAACACATGTAAATGAATGTTTGCATCCTTGGAAGATGTGGCAAAAAGAAATGAAGCATACGTGTCATAATGTTTCTTTGAGTTAGTGCGGCGAGCTTCGGCTTTCTCTTCTGCTGTGTGATAGAGACGTGGACGCCCCATGGTTAGATGGATGAGGCGAGACTCGGAGCTTGGGCGTGTAACACTTGTAAACAAACGGTAGGCGCCCTCTAAATGCCCAATCAATCTTACAACTTTTTCGAGTTGGCGGAGACACTTACCTTGCTTTTAATATAAAAAAAGATTGATTCAGAGAGGTGGAGCTTGACAGATTCGGAATGTCAGAAAATCCAACCAAAAAGGGCTGTTATGGAGTGCGCAATAGGCATTTACAGTAAGGACAACCACCTTACATGCACGAGACAACTGTAAACAACAACTCAATCTTACAACTTTTTCGAGTTGATAACACCTTCACCTCGTTTCAATTGAAAAACTTTGTTGATTCAGGGAGGCAGAGTCTGACAGATTCGGAATCTCCAAACGTCCAATCAAAAAGGGCTGTTACGGAGTGCGCAATAGGCATTTACGGTCAGGACATCCACCTTAAACTTGAATGCACGAGACATCTGTAAACAACGACCCAATCTTACAACTTTTTCAAGTTGGCGAGACCTTTACCTTGCTTTAAATAAAAAACTTTATTGATTCAGAGAGGTGGGGTCTTACAGATTCGGAATGTCCAAACATCCATTTAAAGAGAGCTGATACGGAGTGCGCAATAGGCATTTAAGGTCAGGACAACCACCTCAGTGGCATATGCACGAGTTACAGCGTCGGGCATACTTGTTCTTCAGACTTTTTTAAAGCACCTGGATATACCACAAACTCTCAGTTGTTCAATGACCCACCGACTTTAAGGATTAAGCCAAGGGAGGGGCTTGGGGCTACCTACATATTTATGGTATGTTTTTGACCATGGAGAGTACTTATTTCGGGACATCGGCCTCAATATCTGCACGGGAAGGGTTGCAAGTTTCCTGGCTGCCCATTTCAATTTATCAGGGTGAGAGTAACGGTGTTTATATTCAGAGCTACATATATCGACAAATGGTATGACTAAATCAGAACAATGTGCAATGCCGCCTACAGATGATCAAGTCAAGTATAAAGCAAAGGATGCGATGTTGGCCGCATTGATCCTGGCGTGTCCCTCGGCCACACTGGATACACGCGAGTAAACGGCATGACTGACCCCAGTGACCAAAGGAGAGACGGTCTCCCTGAGTGATACGTGTTAGTAATTAAAGTGGCGGATGACGAAAAAAAACTGACCATCCGCTAAAAATTCCCAAGTTGCGGCCACAGGTGACAACATAGAACGGGCCATCTGCGTTTGCGGCAGGAATGTGATAACCACATGGGGCCATCACCAGGTGAGTGGGCGGCAGTATAGCATTGGACGGTGGGTTAGGCGGAAGGGCAGCGTAGAGCGGAACAGCTACTGGAGCGGCGGTAGGAGCATTGACAACACCAGGAGTGGCTGGAAGCGTTGGAGCGCCGGACGCGACAGAAGGGACGGACACGACACTAGGAACAGACGCGATGATGGTGGCCGATGGAGTAGGGGAAACAGCGGTCGTCGATGTGGCCGTTGAGCCAGCAGATCCTGTGGCAAGACAGTTTCCGTGGTAAGAGCAGGTGGTGAAGAGGACAGGGACGAGGGCTGGAACACTGCCCTCATCAACTGGAGCTTCATCATCGCTGATGACGTCTTCGTCTCTGGTAGAATCTACGCCAACGCGAGTGGAATCGGCTGAATTCGTGGAGTGGGAGGAAGAGGCTGGAGTCGAAGTCGGGCTGGTGGTGCGATTGACGACTTCAACAAAGGCGCGTATGACGTTCTGGGCTTCGGCAGGAGTCAAATTCAAAGATCTGAAAGCTTCTTCAATGACTGGAACATGTGTTAGTTTACGTTCTTCAAAGGGATACCATATATGACTTACAATTGACAGCAGACGAGGAGGAGGCCTGAGCCTCGTCATGGTCGGCGATTTTGGTCATTGAAGACAGATTTCGATGCAGTGGAGACTTAGCGTGGATTGATGGGGGACAGAGGCAGGAAGGGGATGAGTCAAATTGAGTTTTTGAAGCTTTTTATACTCGCGATGGCACTTCCGCGCTTCCTTCCCACACTGAAGAAAAAGCTTTTAAGTGTGGACTGATTCTCGATGGGGATCAGAATACGTACCCATCTTTCCTCTGCCCCCACCTAAAAGCTAGATGACTGAAGTGCCCGTCGACTCTGATGGTGGTGTGTGAGTGGTCAAAGCTGACTTTGTCACTGTTGTATATCAAGTCTGATGTTCTCGGATATTTTAGTGTTCTTGCACCGCCACTTCTTCAGCCTCTGTTACGAAACTGGGCCAAGGGCCAACGCCTCGCTTTTCTTGAAAATTTTATTAGTGACTACAAGGAAGCCTTGCTCACCAAAAAAAGTCCTTCAGTCCTCGATTCCATAATCAATCAATGGTTTGCGCAATTTCACTGGACTATCCCCCTTTCCGCTGTCGATACCACAACGGCAACCATCCTACCCATCGATGCTCAGGGTCATGAAATTCTGACGTCAGCGGATTCCATTCTCAAAGGGCGAGTAATCGAACGTGCACATAATGTACGTTAAAACTTTCAGATTTGACCGCGTTCCTCCTTCTAACGCTTGTGTTTTACTAGTCTCTTTATCACTGGTACGAGTACTGGTGCAAACGAACAACAGTGCTTCCATGCATTTGTAAAGGCGACAAGGACCCTGTTTCCGCACTGGTCAAGCAACTTCTTGGACAGAACACCTCGGCATCAAGGCGCACCGCCAGTTGGGAGGTGTGGGGAAAAGAACACTTCCCCTCGTTTAAGGACGAATTCGAGGCCGAATTTGCCGCCAGTGGTCGACCTAAATCGCAACGTGCGACCGCCCGGAACGACTTCAAGTTATCGCGGTGGAAGGAGCTCGATGAAGAAACTCAACGTCAGTGGGACGAAAAGGCAAAAGACTTGCATGCGGCCAAAAAAACATCTCGCTCAGCGACGTCCGGCTTGATGGCCCCTGCCGATGCTCAAGAGTACGTACTTCTGGACCATGGACGGGGACCTAACTAACTCATATGACGAACAGGGTTTTAGACAAACTCCCAAATCTGTTGGGACCTATGATTCAAATCATCGGAGAGACAATCGGGATGCATATCAGTGTCTTGATTGGTGGCCCGGAGCCACAGAGGAAGGGTCAGCTGAATGTGTTTGGGTACGTTGCTTTCATAATTCATTTATTTGATTCCCCTTGCTGAAACACTCGGTAGGATTCATCATGGTGAAAACAAAGCGGCGATTCCGAAGGTTTGGGCTTTGGCGGAAAAAGACAAGTTCAAGGTGGTAAACGAAGTGTTTCTATCTTTTCTCTCAACTTGTTACAGTAAGTGTCGTCATTTTATTTCACTGTGCACAATGTCTAATATACAACAGCTGCGGAGGAGCAGCGCGCGCGCGCTTTACCTGAAGACCTGACTGGCGACGGGAACGCCATTGCTGGCCCTTCATCCTCAGGCATCGATTCGTCTCAGCCAACTACCGCTATGCCCCCAAACTCCTCGGATGTAGCGGGTGGTAAGCGGAAGCACCGCACAGAGAAGAAGGACAAGAAGGCCAAGAAGAGTCGAACGACGCACCAGAAGCACAAGAAGAACAACAAGAGGCCAAACAAACGCCGCAAGCCGAACGTTGCCTCTGATGAGGACGGTTCCAGTGGTGAAGACACCTCTGATCCTTCAGAGGTGGAAAGTAGCGAGGATGACGAGGACGAGGAGGATGAAGATGAAGATGACGACGACGACAAGCCCGTCAATCCGCGGCTCACCAAACACACGTCGATGGATCCAAAGCGTTGGAAAACCAAAGCCACGACAGCTGTCAACACTGATGATTCCATCAGCATCAATGTCAAGGCAACCAACGCAGCGACAGTCCCTCCGCCGACCGCTCCCTCCCCTGTTCGCCCCATGCCAGAAAGTCCCCCCACACCAGCAACTGCTTCTGCTCTTACTTCCCTCCCACCAGCCGCACCCTTGCCCCCCCCTCCCCTCTCGCAGCCTTCCTCCCCAGTTCTCCCCTCACCAGCAGGTCCCTCCACACTGGCCCTTGCTTCTGGTGTCACTCCGGCTGCTCCGCCGTGCACGAAGGCTCCACAAGAAGCCGTCTCGTGGCCTTCTTGGTTTGCTGATGCCCACGCATTCCTGTCAAGTCAGAATCTAGGCCCCAACTTCGCATTCCTGATCGAACAATTCACGGATTTAGAGCGACGCACCGACTTTGCCCCAGGCGCATGTTCTGCAGGCTTTAAGCCAGACAACAGGCCTGCAGAAGTCCATTACTGGATTTCTCGTGGGCGAGCAATACAGCCGAAGGTCGACACGGTGGCTGATTTTGAGAAGAGTTGGTGGAAGTGGTGGAAGGGGCTTCAGCCAGAATGGAGGGCTGTATCAGATGTAGTCGGCCCTCTCAACTCCTCGCATCGTTCGAACTTGGTGAGCGGTGCCGATTGGTCAGTAGTAAACAAACATGGTAGAAACGCTTTTTTTTCTGTGATGGCGACTCTCGTCTGGTGGGGTGTAGCGCTTCCCACTCTATCCACTGCAGATGAAGGTTGGATGGCGGCCATTCAGGATGTGGGATGGGTGCTCACTGGTCTGTTAAGTGCCAGGTTTGTGTTTTCTCGTCTAATACTGTTCATTTATTCATTCTACTTTCCTGTATAGCTCATCAATGCTGATTTCTACCAACGCCTCCCATGTCCTTCCCCCATCCACGTCGATTTCTATTGGCACCTCGCGCAAGCGCAGGCGCTAAGGTGCACCTACCTCCTGTTTGCCATCGCGCACTGCTCACGCGGTTGTTTCACGTCGATTTCTATTTGCGCCTCGCTTGTCGATTTCTATTTGCGCCTCATGCTAAGGTGCCTCCACCTCCTGTTTGCCATCATACATCACTTGTATCTTTTTCTTGTCTGCTTGCATCTTGTTCCTCTACGTATTTCGTACCTCTTCTTGTAAAGGCTGACCATTTGGGTCTGTTTTCACTTTCTTGATGTTTTCTTGGGTGGACATATGTATATACTAATTATGAAGGTATATACATATGTCAGGACACAGCCGTCGTCGAGCGTAAGGAAGACGAAAAGGAGCATCGGTACATAGTTGGAAAGAAGTTGAACGTCGCGTGAAAACACGTGACGCAAAGTTGATCTTCAACGCCAGCGCGATGCGTCTTCCAGCTATCGATTATGTGTGCGTCGAGCAGATGTGAACGTTTAGCATCAGAGCATGCAACAGGGGGAAATGGAGCGTGCAACAGGGTGAAATGGAGGCAGATTATCCATTGGGAAATAAAATAAAACAGTCAGAAATAAAATAAAAACAAACATAGCAGGTGGAAAAACATAACTACGTTGAAGAAAACATACTGAGACCTGTTCTGACAGCAAGAAACATCTGTGACAGGTGCTGTTGACGCAGCCAGACACATTTGATGGAATGCCAGCCAAAAATAGCACTACCGGTGGAAAGACTGATGGCAGTCGACACGACGACGGCTCGGCAACAACATATCTTCCCAAATTCAGATGATGGAAATCATGTAAAGCTGTTTTGACATGGGGGGAGACATTTTGATGAGGGAATATGCCAAATGCCTAAAAATAGCTGCGCGGAAATATCATTTTAATGGTTGAGCCGCACGGAAAACAATTGACCCCGAGAAATGAAATAAAACCTACCCTAGGGTTATTACATAATGACCCAAAACAATGCAGAACAAATTCTCAACACATTTTTGGCATAGAATAAGGTCCTGCATAACTTTTGCTTTTGGGCAACTGGACACATCCATGCCATACGCAATAGAAATCAGTGGTCAGGTCCTGCACAATTTGGTCAATTCTTACAGCTAGGGCTGAGGAAGTTCCGTTTCTCAAAGGTCGACGGTCTTTTGGCGGAAATACAAGCAGATTTGGAGGACCAAAAAGAGACTTTCCGCCATCGAAGCCGTTGGCCAGTACAACAGGCTTCTCAGTTGGAGGGGTTGTTTCTTCACTGATGACGTGAGCTCACGAAATCTCCTCATCATCCTCCCTAGTTCTCACCATCGTCGTCTAGAGCATTCTCTACTTGTTCGGATGGGGCTCTTTACACCAGCTGTCCAGATCAAAGATGAAGGGACCCTTTATCTTCCCAATGGTTCTTGTGAAATTGCGCGAGTTCGTCAAGACAAGTTGAAGGTCACTCAACTTCCGTACTCAAACATTTTCTACCTTCACTGACAATGCAACAAGGCATTGGAATGGTTCTTTCTTCAACTGAAGAGGGTCAAGAATATCACTTCGAATGGGCCCACCATTTCGGTTGGCATTGAATGTCCTCTGCCTTTCTTGGTTACCACGACGACGAAGTCCATGAGGAAACAGCCATCGTGCACTTCCGCGACCTCCAACGATGCTGGCTAGCCCTTTTCAATGTATGTACCCTCTTCGCTTCTAGTTCTCGGACTACTGACAGACTTGACACAGAATCACGCCTCAAACATGTCTTCGACGATGCCGTTACTAGATGCCCTCCCTGTTGCTGTTTGGTCCCACGTCTTGTTTGATGAAATTCTATTGGGGTGAGTTACGGGGTAGTCTGATCCTACTGAACACGTACTAACCTCTAAGACAGTCATCGTTGGGTAGGCCACTTGCGTTGCTCAAGTGTGGACTTCCTCCTATTAACATCAAGGGGAATGGGACATTGGACTCTCAGCTGCATAGTATGCTTGCAAGAACACGGGCAAAACGAAACATTTGACCAACACTTGACCATTGGGTTGCTGTCAGTCTCGAAT